TTTGCTTCCTGGGACAGAATAAATGTCTTATAATTCAAATAAAAGGGACTCGGGAAATTTGGGAGAAAGAGCTGAAATGGTGGGTGTGGAACAGGAAACACAAGGTGAGCCTGGGATATACTGTATCTCAAAGTGCTAAAAGGAAACCACAGGTAATGTGTTCTTAAACACAAAGAAGGCTAAGTGGCAGTGTGGTGGTGGCACACCCCTTTAATCCCAGCACTGATGGAGAGGGAAGAGGATCTCTGTGAGTTGAAGGCCAACCTGACTCGTCAATGCAATACATTCTAGGACAGCCAGGGCTGCACAGTGAGAACTTGTCTCAAAAAACAAAACAAAAACAAAAGCAGGAACCATGAGAAATGAACAGGTTTCTCTGCTGGATGTGGTGGTGCACACCACCTGAGTCGATTAAAGTCCCAGCACTCAAGGAAGCAGAAGCAAGTGGATCAGATCATGGTGAGTTCGAGGCCAGCTTGGTCTGCAAAGCAAATCCAGGACACCCAAGACTACAAAGAGAAACTGTCTTGAAAAAACAAAACTAAAAAAATAAAAATAATTTTAAAAGAACAGGCCTCTAGAAAAAGTATTAAATTATAACCCAAAGGACAAAAGAAATCTACACAGGACCACACAGGCATGAGCGAGTGGGTGACATAATAAAACCTACATAAACAAGTATAAACAATCTCTTATAATGGGGGGAACACAACTATTGTGTGAAGGAGTGGGGCCAAACCACAGCCACTGCCCAGAAAAAACCTCTTGTGGATGCTGAAGCTACTAAGAAAAATGTTACAGAAAGAAAAGGTCATCTGTATCTCTGCCCACAGTTATATTCTCTCTTTGAGCTGGAAGCTGACTGGAGGGCTTTACACAAACTGAACGCTGGATCTTGCATGAGCTGAGCTCCCACAGTGAACACAGAGAACAATCACTTCCCAGTGACAACACCTGGACATAGGACCAGAATCAAACAATCAACTTTAGCACCATCTTAAGACACCCAGATGGTCTCATTTGAGACGGCCCCAAATACATACAGCCTCAGTACAATCAAAGACAATCATACAGACAAATGTTTTTCAGAACTGTCAAGATAGTGAAAACAAAGAATGAAAGCTACCAAGACATGAGGAGTCTAAGGAGACTGAAAACACAGTGTGATATCCTGGAACACCAGACAGATACCAATGGGCAAAACGGGAAATGCAAGTAACAGCTGGGAAAGGGGGATTAAAGGTACAAAGAAAAGTTACCCTACTTCTACAACTGTTCTTACTCCAGATCTAAAACTGTCACAAAATAAAATAAACTCACAAGAGTAAACTTAGAGAACAAGCGTGTATAATTACAATCAAGAATAGAAGTCAGGGGGAAAAATTAAAATCTTTAGCAAAGGGCTACAGGTATTGCTCTGAGAAAGGGCACTGGCCTCAAGGATAAGAACCCTGTGTTCATACCCAGCACTCCAAAAGAAAAAACAAACAAAAACAGACTTTTAAAGTACTGGTATGATAGCAAGCCTGTTATCCCAGCACTTGGGAGATGAAGGCAGGAAGTTCCTCAACTACACACCAAATAAATTCAAGGCCATTCTGAGCTACTTGAAACCCCATCTCAAAAAAGGGAGGAAGGGAGGAAAGAAAAAAGTTTCTGAAGTGACTACGCTATAAGTCAATAACACTTACATCCATTAGAATCAGTTCCTAGCTCAGTCTAGCTCTTGGAGGCTGACCTCAAATGAGTGAGGCATTGAATCAAGGCATCCTCACTGTCCTACACTCTCTTCCACTTGGGCTCTGTCCATAAGTCAATGAGTCTTTCTTTCCCTGCTCTTTAGAAACCAAGGTGAAGTGTAAGCCAGGGAGCACAGCCAGCAATGAGCTTTCTCTACCATTTCCTGCATTCCCCACTGCTTGTATTTGTTTATAATTTCATACCTGTATATAATGAATTGACCACTCTAACTCCATCCCCTCTTGACTCCCACCTGTCAAGTCCCCACCTACACCAGCTCTTCCCTATACGAGCCTTTCCCACATTCCTCTTTTTTGTTTTATTTTGCGATCCACTGAGGTTAATGAGGGGCATGGTGGGTCAGGAAATATCCAACGAATGCTGGTAGGATCCCAATGCTTTCTGCAGACTTCCGAACACAGGTAACAATACAGCCAGAATCTGTGCCCTTGCACATCCAACCACACAGTGGACTTCCTTACTCTGTACAGAATTAAGTGTCTTTTCCCTACCTCACTCTAGGTAGGGCTGAATCCTTGCTGTTCCACTTCACACACACACACACACACACACACACACAATGCCCTCTGGCAGAGTAGAATCTCCCCTGCCTCCAGCCTCCTGCTCCTTCCTGTCACCTTACACCTTGTGCTAGACAGAAACTAAACCACTTGCCAAAAAAGATCAAGCTGGTACATTCAGGCCAACACCTACTTTTCCTCCCCCTTTAGCACTCACACATCACTCAATCTGTCTACTACAAAACACTTTTTACATGTGCAGACTATCAGGTAGTTAGAGGGGCTATCTCCTGAAACTCAAAGGGATTTTGCTTTAAAAATTACAAATTCAAAGAGAATTTTCTCAAATTATCTACTTAATACAATGTTTCTAAAATGTGTACACAGAACAAGGTGAAACCTTAATGCTTAAACACTGCTTTGATTTTCAAAACCATCCTGCCAAGCATGCATGAGAGGAAAAAAAATCATCCTTAATCCTGAGTTAGTTTGGTTGGTATTTCTTTAGTAGTCTCTACAATCTAAGAGGATATGAGTCATGTTTCTACACTCCTCATGAAATAAACTAATACCAGATTCTCTTCAGCTAGTTATGAGTTTTCCTTTAAAGTCAATTTTAACTGAGGTATCTGAGAAATTATCAGTACTGTTCATCTTCCTTGTAATCTGATCAACATGTTTAAGTCATATATATAATTAAAGGGCTGAGAGTAATGAGATGGTAAGAACAATCCACAGAATCCGGGATGGTAAGAATGAAGCAAATAAAATTCAAGAGGCAGCCAGGTGTGATGACTCACCTTGCAAATCTCCAGCAGTAAGGTGAAGGTGGCAAGATGGTCACCCCAAGTTTGAGGTTAATCTGGCGTAAAGAGGGAGTAGGCCACCATGGGGTACAGAGTAAAACCGCTAACTTAAAGAAAAAAAAACTGAATAGCTGGGCAGTGCAGGCAAAGCAGAAGCAGGTGGATCTCTGTGAGTTCAAGGCCAGCCTGGTCTACAGAGTTTCAGTACAACACAGAGAAACTCTGTCTCAAAAAAAAAGGAGGAAGGAAGAAGGAGGATAAAGAGGGGGGAAAAATGGAGGAGGAAGAGGAGAAAAAGAAAGAAAGAAAAAAGGAAGGAAAGGAAATTAAGTAACTTAGGTCAGAGCAGGTACACAAGTTACTCATTTTACTCTGGTGAGGGGAGTGTTTTCTTATAATTTTGTGATACACTGAGATGACTTAAATATAGAATAAAGAGCATGTAATGTTTATATAGAAAACCCAAGGCTGCTTCCCAAAACCCATGTCAGGCAGCTTAACTTGTGCTCCAGAAGAGGCTCTGAAGCCTCTGGCCTCCATGAGTATCTGCACTCTCATGAGCAAAGCCCCACACAGAAATACATACACATACATATGAAATAAATAGAATACATCTTAGATGTTCTTCCTTAGAAATTACAATGTCAGATATTTGCATAAAGAACTGATGCCCTCCCTCAGTACCTTCAGTGCCATCACATCCTACTGAGGTGGAGCTCATTCTGAGGGCAGTCCCCATCAGTACCCCACTGCCTACAGACTGAAAAGAACCCTCGGTTTTCATTTTTAAAACAGGTTATTGAAACAGCTGGGTGGCAGGTGTAATGAGACACATGTCACTTCTGAGTAAACACCAATCTTAAGTGACATACAGAGTAAACTAAAGGGCTGGCCTTCACCTATATAAATGACTACCTACGCCAATCCCCAAGCTCATCTTCCAGCACTTGGAAGCTATAAATTCTAATACAATTATGGTGCCCCTTCCCAAGCTACACTGATTAGAGTCCTCCAGGGAACTCCTAGTAAAAGTAAAGAAGTCACCAAATTCAGAAACTGTCATTCTACTTCCAAGTAGGTAAAGGACTATTATGAGGGAGTGAAAACAGCTAGGCTGTTGTAGTCATGACATTCCTCATACTCAGATCTGGTTCTGGCTGTACAGATGGCCCAGCTGGCCTGGTGCTCTTCCCAAAGGGGGGTAATTCAGTAAGAGTGATGTATACGTATGCCAATGAGGGCCTTTTTTAAAATCACGTTTTAAAAGCTTGCTTTGGCCCTCTATAGCACAGCTCACCTGAGTTCTGCCTCACTGCCAGCTTTAAGAAGTAGATCTGCGTTAGACACCTCCACATAACAGGTAAATGTAGCTGAAAGTAAACTGCAAAGTTTCCTCAACTCCACTGTAACTATGATATTTAGCCCATTCCTATTACGGGATGATGAAATATACAGACTGAAAGAAATGAAATGTAACTTGTTAAAAACTATTATCTTAGCACAAATATGTTAGTATCAGTACATTCAACTATCCCTTTACCTATTCTTTCCCAGAATGATTCAACTACTAAGAACTAGCTACAAACATTATGAAAATATCAATTTAATCTAACCTTCCTCTAGCCCACCATAAATGGCTTCTTAAAGAGTTGTTACAGTATCCTATGGTAAGAGTAAACTCCATTTTAGGCTATCAGCTGGTCAAGAAAAAAAAAATTACAGGCATCAAAATACTAACTAAACACCTCTAGGTCCTGTTCTAGGTACTGGGGAAAATGACGAGGAAAACAAAACCCATTCTTGCTCCCATAACGTTGAACTATGCAGAGGGGCCAGGTGTCAATGGAGGAAGATTTTTTTTTCGTGGTAAAATGATAACAGTAATGAAGGACCTATATAGACAGTCACATAGGATGGGCATTACTTTACATACCAATTCCAGGGCAGAGCCTGAGACAAAGAACAAAGTAGCTGAGGCAGAAGCAAGCACATCCCTGGGTCTGAAGCTGCCAGGGCTGGACAAGCAGTGCCAGAGGGGAAGTCACTGTGAAATAAGAGATGTGCAGTCAGCGGAAGGCAGTACTCAAAAACTAAAAAATAACTGCCCTGCTTTCGGTTTTAGTAATTAAGGCTGCTTTTTCGATGTTGTGTTGTGTTGTTTTGTTTGGTGGGTCCCAGTTTCATGTGGCCCAGACTAACTTGAACTTGTTCTGTAACCAAGGCCAGCCTTGAATTCCTGACCCTCCTGCTTCCACCTCCAGGTATTAGGATTACAAATGTAATCTACTCAGCCTTTTTGGTTTTTGGTTGACATTTTTGGGGACCAAATCTCACCATAGCCCTGGCTATCCAGGACTCAGTACGCAAGCTAGCTACTAGTTGCAATCCTCCTTACCCTGCCTTGCTGAGATTATAGACTGTGTGGCCCTTTTGAGGAAACAGAAAGGGAAGGTGACTGACATCAATGAACAGCTCCACAGTGAGCGATAACAGACGTAAAGGTGTTTTCTGCTACATATTCTAAAAACAACAGATTGGTGGAAAACTTCAATGTACGTGAAGTCAAATGCTGAAGACAACAGGAATTTAAAACAGAAATACAGACATTCAAAAACCCATAAAACTTTATAACAAAACATTATAAAAATTAACAATCCAAATAAAAATGCTAATAAAAATTTTAGTGGCTAACTTCTCATGAGAAAAATATTCAATTTCAAGTAGAAAAACAAAACCTCAAAGAATCAAAAAATATGTGAGGCTGCTGAACAAGACCTGAGCCCGGAGCCCTCTGGGTAATTCCAGCACTATGGAGCCAGAGTCCATGGCAGGCATAACTACAAGTATGAGGCCAGGGTGGTCTACATATCAAATTCGGGGCCAGCAGGATACAGAGTGGGGCTTTCTCCAAAAAAAAAAAAAAAAGAAAAAACAAAAACAAAAAATAACTGAAGATGGACAGCCAACCCCCTCCCCCAAAACAAAGAACTCAGCAACCTCCTGAGCAGCTAAGCTCTTGAGCTCTCCTGTTTACAAGCAGTCAGGGGAGGGGAGAGTGCAGGAGCCAGAGCAACTCTTGATAAAGCTGCAGAACTTCCCGGTTTCCACACCTTGGACTGTTCTTTCGAGCTTGTCCTCAATTTTCCACTCTATTTAAACCCGTAAGATATATGTGGCACTTTGCAAATAATGGAAAGGAAGTTGGTAAATGAAATGTTTCCAAACTTTTCTTTATTCCTGAACTCACTCAGCAGCCTTCTTCCCACTATGCACACTGACAGCTAAACCCTGAGCCAGCTTCACACCATAGCCATTAAGTTATACCATATACCCGTGTGTAATGTCATATATGCACGTAGGCCCAGGAGAGCCACAGGGCACATGTGCAGGTCAAAGGACAACTTCGAGGTGTCGTCTCTCTCCTTCCAGCACATGAGTCCTACTGACCTCAGGCTGAGTCTCAGTGGTGAGCGCCCTCAGGCACTCAGCCACCTCACTGGCCAATATTATGTTTTTCAAAGATAATAAACTATTGTCTCAGAATGGGGGGGGGGGCAGCCCCTTTCAACTTGTAGACATTATTTCTATGCCACTTTGTCAGAGCAAAGGGAACAGCCTACCAGTGTTTCTACAAGACTACTGGAGTCATCTGACAGAAAGACAAAGAAGGCATATCAGGGCAGCCAGTCCTGCACAGGAGCGACCCAAAAAGGAGAGAAATGTAGACAGAATATCTTGTGTGTTGTATAGATGCAACATTTTCAATTAAAAAAAAAAAATGTATGGCCTATAAGAAAGAATAGAAGGTGGGTCACCCAGCAGGCAAAGGGAATTCTGGGAAAAAGTCAGGCGCTGGAGATTCACCAGGGAAGATGTGAGGACAGACGCATGGTACCTGAGGAGAGGAAACCAGCCTTGTGGCAGAATGTAGACTCGAGTAAGTGTGTTATTTTAAGTTATGAGCTAGTCAGAGAAGAGCTTAGCTATATGGCCTACGCATTTGTAAATATATTTTGAGTCTCAAGAGTCATTATCCCAGAAGTTTGGGGTAGGGAGGAAAGTTACCCACCTAAAGGAACAGGAAATTACAAAAAGAAGGGCCTGCATGGCTTGGTACAACAGTCAAAATGGGATTTGTTCCGTCCGGTCCATTCTAAATACTGGTTCTAAACTCATAAATGTAAAAATTTGTATTTCTATATTTAAATTCATAGTTCCCAAGTTCAATGAATACTAAAATAATTATTATTAAGTACTATAATAAATGTATAGCTTTAAAAAGAATGGTCACATGAAGGGAGATCTGAAGCTGGTGTGACTGGGAAGCTTTTCCCTGCTTGCTCACTTTCGTAGTATAAGTTACTTCATAGGCTGCTGAAGAAGAGAAGTCAGCAAGTCTCACCCATTTGTGAACCCCACGAGCTATAATAACAACACTGGCACTTCATGTTACAGGGGTAGCCAATGGCTTCTCTTTTCTTTTGTTTCAAGGCCAGTTCCACAGGAAGAAACTTCTGTGTGGCACTGTAAGTTTGGCCAAGAACCCATGGCTTCAGAGTTCTAAGGCCCAGGAGTGATATTCTTACTATCATATTGCTAAATGGACTATATACATATTGGTGCAACACAGCTTTCAGTCTCACGGGGTAAGCTTCTTTGTGCAGTGGATGATAGCTACTGCACAACTAGTCAAAATACAAAGATCTGTGGAGTACTCAGTCCTACGTGTGTTCTCAAGGTTCAGGGAACATGGAGGAAGAGTGGGTAAGAAAACATTTTAAGAACCAGAGGCTCAGGAGAACTAAACTGTGTCTTCTACATGACAGGACCAGTGTGCTAGTAAGTTCTCAACAGCTGTGCTTACTTGTGTAAGACCTGCACAATTATCAAGACCAGTCAACAATCCCATACAGAAAGAGAGGGGCTCATTAACCCTGGCCCCTAGCTAAGCTGACAATGACAGCTGATAGCTTCTGGGAGAAGGAGTCAGTTTAACTTAAGAGTCAAAAATGCTCCAATGGATGACACCACATCAATGTGCACATCGCAGCAAAAATTGGACTGGGGGGGGGAGTAAATTAAGAGAAAGGGAGAATGTGAGGTTGGAGGTAGGGTAAGAGTTAGATCCCGAATGTGTTAGGTAGAGAAATGGAGTGGGGGGGAATACAATCAAAATACAATATAAAAATACTATGATGTAATAAAGTAAACTTCAAAAGGGTTTTTTAAAACTGTTTTTCCAGGCATTCAAGGTCAAGCTGCACTACATGGAATTTACACGACAATCTGGGCTACATGGGAACCTGCCTCAAAATTAAAAACCAAAAATCAAAATAAATAAATCAACCCAAAAAACAAAAAACTTACACACTTCAAACATAGCAAAACTCTACACTGCCCAACCTCCTCAGCTACACATCTGTAGCTTCTGCTACTTCCCAAAGGCCAGCAGGCTAGAGAGGTTTCACTGATCAGTTTGACGCTCAGCACCCGTATCAGGTGGCTCACTACCACCAGTAACTACAGCTCCAAGGTACCAGACACCCTTCCCTGGCCTCAGAGGACACTGGACTCACATGCACAAACCTATCCTTAGTATACACATAATGTTCTTTAATTATTAAAGGACACTAGGAAGCAGCTAGCATTACCTGAGGAACTCCTTTTGCCAGGCACCATACTAACTACATGCATTCTCATTTCAGTGAACAAAGAACTATGCTTTCTTTCCACTTCCAGGTGTGGAAACCAACTGTAATAGCCACATGATCTCACAAAAGTATCCACAGGTAAATAGGAGTGAAAGGAATCAAACCAGCACCACCTGGAGCCAGCTCTTCCGCACAGTAGCATGCAGAGTCGGAGTCTGCTGCCAGACCCTATGCAGCCCCCAGTTACTACAGAGAGGGCACTGCCTTGGGAAGGCTGACCCCTCATTAGTGCAGCAGACCTTAGCATGAACAGAGTGTTCCACCTGCTTCAGCTGAAGCCGAATATGAGGTACACAAATTACTGAAGGCAAGACAAGGTCTAAACTGCCAATGGATAAGTACAAGTGACACAATTGTAAGTGACAGCAATCACAGCCAAAAGCAGAGTCAATACAATTGCCATGTCATATTAAGAGCTGTGCAGAATCCACACAGTGACACAAATCCTTCCAAACCAAAGATTACCACAACACTAAAGTCAAGGAGCAGCCTAAGAGAACAGGCTTTCACCTGACTCCCAAAACCTCTGACAAAGCACTGCTTTTGAAATAAGATTACTTAGGTCTTGCTGGACAACCACAACTGTATTTTTATTTACCAACTTTAAACAACACCAGCTACAATAAATACCAACATGTGGAGTGGTGGCCCAGGCCTTGAATCCCAGCATCCAGGAGGCAGACCCAGGCAGATTTCTGTGAGTTCAAGGCCAGTCTGGTTGACAAAACAAATTCCAAGCTGGTCAGAGCTGTATATAGTAAAACCCTGACTCAATAAACAACAAAACCCAACAACAAAAACATTCTAACAATCCTCATCATGTAACAGCTCTAATTCTGTCAGTGAATCAGAGTAATAAATATGAAATGTTACCAGAAAAAAATGTATTTAGCTCTTTTAGAAACTGGGTGGAAAGGTGGGAGAAATAACAGCTCTGTCTCCCTAACTGATGGCCACAGCCCAGGACAGGCAACCTGAACTGGCAACCTCCCTCTCAGCATCCTGACCTCAGGCATTATAGGCCATGACCACCTTACCTGGCTCGCTTTCTTCCCTCTTCAATTATCCAAATTAAAAGACTAAAACTTCTTTTTTCCTTTTCAGTTTTACTTTTCTGAAATAAGTCTCACTGGATTTATACCAGGTTGGCATTGAACTTCCCTGGAATTAATAGGTCACCACAACCAACTTAAAAGATTTTTTTAAAATGCTTAACTGAGGTCTGGCAGGATGGCTCAGCAGGAACACTACCAAACCTGAAGATCTGAATTCCATCCCCAGGACCCACGTGGAATCACGTGGAAGGAGAACTGACGGCCCCACATTCTCTCCC